TATGTGTGTGAGTGTGTGTGTGTGTAACCATGATTCGTGAAATGAATTTGTTGTCACTGATAAGATAATGCAACATGACTCCTCCAGAACCTCACAAGACAATGAGCGACTGTGTTCACTTGCTAGTGGGGACTGAATTGGTTGAGTGTCCCTTCAATTGTTTGTACTGCCTATCCCTGTATATAGGTCAACACACTACTACAGTAACAAAGACACAAATACACATCCCCAATCACCTATACAGTACATCAGAACACAGACATACATTATACACGCTCATTGGCACACACACATACATATACTGTTGTCATCTGAGTTCGAAAGCCAACTGGAAGATGTGCCAAACGATGGAGAACCAATTAAAGCTCTCCTTCCTCAGCCGATGGCAGCTGCTGATACTGAAACCTGAGCCAATAGGGAGCGCTCACTGCTGTGAGGGGGAAAAAACTGTGAACAAAAATTTTTGTTTTAATACATATACTGCACTGACGATGACAACGAAGAGGAGGATGAAGACGATGAGGATGAAGAATGGATGAAGAGAGTGTTTGCATGTCACTTTTAGTTTTTTCTTTCAGAAGAACTTGTCAGCCTGAAGCTTTGCACCTGGCTGCATTTTAGTGTTTAATGATGATAGTAATAATAATATTAACAATATTAATTGCAGTATTAATGTGGTTCTTGTTATGTATAGTGTATGCTTTTAATAAATCAAGTCTGCTACTTTCTTTCACAAGGAAGCTGTTATTTGTGCTGCTAGATAGAAGCTAGCTGTTTTTTTTAAAATGCTTCTTCAACATGATAAATGCCGTGATAAACACCAGTTAAGGAGAAGCTGAAAATATCAATTTATATGCTTCCATTTCTTTTCATGGATTCATATAATTTTTGCAATAAACACTTGTGGTAATTATGAGATTTTCATGTTATACTCAAGTGAAAATGATTTACCACAGAATGGCTCCCAGACATGTTAACTATTGAGTGAAATGTGAAAATGACCATTCTTCACTTCTGACTTTGCCTCTGGTATAACTTCATTTTCTATTAAAATCGTCAATTCTGACTGAAATTTTGTAAGTTGTTTTTCAAAAGTGGATCTTCAGTCACAACAATATTGTTTACACCTATGATTTTCAGTTAAGGCTAATTGCATGAACCATGTAAACACAGTAACTGCCTAAATTGTACTTTTGGTTGTGTCCAATACAACATGGATCTACATCTTACAATAATGTGATGAATCTCTGTACAAATGTAAGTATGTATTTATGCATGAATGATCATTGAAATCATCCAATTTACTTTAAACTTGGTGAGTTGCTAGGGGGCTAAGGAGGTGCAGTGGTCAAATTGGCAATCGTCAATCAGGACACGTGTTCTTATGTTCAGCATTGATACATTTTAAATAAACAGTGCTCTATAACGGCAGGGGCTGGGACTCATTCACGTAAGGGGCATCATAGATCACACATTGGAGTGATTAAGTCACAGCCTAGACGCCAAACACTAACCTGTTCCACTGTTGCAATAAATATTTGGACGTGAGTTGTCTGACTGAACTACTACGAGTTTTGGGAATTTCACTACTGAAATTCTGTTGAGGGGTGAGGCATGACTCAATGAGAAAACCCATTACTTTTTGTTGCAGATCCAAATCAGGATCAAGGATTTTTTTCACTTTCTTTAACATTTTTATTGATTTCTCAGAAAACAATGTATGGATCTTAATGAAAATGTTTTAAATGTCTTTGTGGTAGTGGGGTATAATCAGTGTCAGCTATACAGGAGGTAGAGATTGGGGATGTGGTTCTGGGATCGGTACTAGGGAGCAAGTCGGATTAGCACAGATGTTCTGCATTGGTGTATGACTCTCTCACCTTTTATCAGCAGTAGCGTGCTGGGACATGTGAGGTCAGAAGGCAGTGAGACGACAGCTCAAGAGACGACCAGCATGCATGTATGTGTGCGTGTCTGTAAAGACAAAAATAAAGAAACTTAAGAACTGTACCTGGTGATCCTGTGTGTCACTGACGATGGACCAACAGCCAACAGAGACCTCTGTTATATTGTACCACAGCCTGTTCGAGCTTCTGCCGTTCTGGTGGAAAGTGATGAGACCCAGCCCATCTTACAAGAGCTATGTGGTTGTGCTCTGTCATATTTCCCCTTACAGCAGGCTTTCTTTTCTCGACGCCAACTCGAAGGAGAGACATTGAAAGAGTTTTTCCTAGCCCTCGTGGCTTTAATGGCACATGTTAAACAGTGTCCGCCTGATGGGATGCCTAACGCAGATGTTCTCCCCGAGGATCAGTTCATTGAGCATGTTCTTGACAGCTCTCTTCGCAGTGAACTTTAGCACCAGCCCACTGTCACACTGTTGGAGCTTCGTGGTGAGGCAATTAGGTGGGAGAGAGAAGGTCTTCCAGGGGGGGATAGTGGGCGTAGCTCCTCCTTGCCATTAGCTTATGGTCTTCAATATGGAGTGCAGTGTCGCTTCCATCCAGCTCACCCAGACTGTAGCCTCGCTGCAGGCCCCTCGCTCCCAAGGCCAAACTTTTTGCAGTGGTCCTTTAATCTGCCAACTGATCTCCAACTGAGCTGCGGAGCCACACTGACTTAATTGCTTCTTGTTCCAACATTAATGTCCTGATTGTAGAGTCACTGCTCTATGCTTAGTGGACACTGGTTCCATAGTATACACAGTTACTGAAAGTTTCGTTCTGGAGCAGTTTGCACCTTGGGGCTATGATCGCCTTTGGTCTTGTCACTGGTCACTGCTACGAGCAGCTAATGGCCTAGCGATTCAATATATAGGCTATTATGAGCTTGAGGTGGAACTGTGTAGTAAGGTGATGCTGCGTTGTGGGATTCTTGCTGTTAAAGACCCCACTGGTTTTGTGTCTTCTATCCCTGGTATCCTTTGGATCAATGTGATTTGCAGATACTATCGAGAGCTCTTCGGCACATTCGGGCCTTCTTTTTTTGACTCACCCTCTTAGTCACAGGCGTCTGGTCCCATTATTGCGGCCTTGCAGAAGTGCCATCGGTCTGCTGCCCACGTTCCAGGGGGCAATACTGGCACTGTGAGCGGTGCACATACCTGGAGTGGTAATGAAACTGGTTGGTAGCACCTGTCCAGAACAGTCAAAGTGCTCTGTTTGAGCCCCCTAAGTCAGGTTTACCAGCTGGGCTCCTAGCTTCACCATGCCTTGTATAGGTTGTCCGAGGTACAGCGTACGTCCCAGTGGTCAGTTTTGGTACAACTAAGGTTCTTCTTTACACATGGACTGGTCATGGCGCCTTGAGTGCTGCCCAGGTTGTCAGCCTACCTGCAGGTGTGACTGAAGAGAGGTCAACGATGGCAACTGTTTCCTGCCAAACAATTGCCCACTCAGTACCAGATAGGGTAGAGTCACTGTATCTGTCTGCATTGACTGGATGACCCACATTTTTCTCTTATTAAACTCATATAAAACAGAGGTTCTAATATTTGGCCCTAAACACCTTAGAGATATACGATATACGCTACTCAGATACTCTACCATTACTGACAATAATTCCTCAATTAATTTACCTTCCATTGTACTTACATCATTACACCGGAGTTGCAGAGGAAAAGGATTGGTGAGGAGGAGGAAGAGAGCCAAACGACAAGGATTTGTGGAGTAGAGGGGATACAAGCAGTATCTACCCCCCTTTCCTCATGGGCAACGTGAGATCACTAGGCAACAAGATGGACGAGCTGACAGGGATAGCCTCGAGCCAAAGGAAGTGTAGTCTGATGATGTTTTCGGAGTCATGGCTACACAGGGATGTTCCCAACCAAAACGTTAACATCGAGGGATTTCAGACGGTTTGCACCAACAGGGATTGCACCGAGAGTGGGGATTGCTGTTTTTGTAAACAACGGATGGTGCAATCCTGGTCATATTACATTCAAGGACCGTATTTGTTGCCTGGACATTGAACTGTTGGCTGTGGGACCATGTGGTCCATACTATTTTCCCAGGGAAATCTTGCATGCTATGGAGATGGCTGCGTACAACCCTCCATCCGTGCTTCATGGATTATATAAACTGTTGTGTGGACTGCACTGTCCCAATAAGGACTGTCTGCTGTTATCCAAATAACAAGCCATGGGTAACAAAAGACATCAAAGACATCCTTAACGAGAAGAAGAGGGCTTTCAGAGGTGACAACAGGGTGGAGCTGAGGACTAATCAGAGGTGGCAAAAGTACTCACATTCTTTACTTAAGTAAAAGTATAGATATCGTAAAAGTAGAAGTACTGATTCAAGTCCTTTACTCAAGTAAAAGTAAGAAAGTACAGGCTCTGAAATGTACTCAAGTACATAAGTAAAAAGTAAAAATGAATTTTTAACTTCAATGATACACAATGCCTCTTTTGATAACTCTGCAAAATGAAAAAAGTTGTAGGCAAACAGAACAGGATCATTTTCCTCTTTTGTTAACAACCTGCACAGTGCTGGTACAGAGAAAAAAAAATCACCGGACAGTAGTTTTGCTGTCAAATGTCAAACAGAATAAGTATGAACTGAACTGAGGTCCTGCATGACAACCTGGATATTTTTTTACAGGGAATGATTGGATGGGGAATGTGCTCACATTTATTGAAGTCCCTGCCCTTTGTATACACCACCCGTCGCTACTACCAATTGGATGGTTTAGTGAGGTCCTCGGATCTGCCCCATCCCTCCCTTTGCTTTCCCCCTCTGCTGCGTCAGTACTGCTGCCAGTTGCTTCAGCCCCTCCACCACCCCAGCATCCATCTGTAGGCTCCAATGGGGGTTATAAATATTTGCTCACCACTCCCATCACAGCTCCTTCAGCTGCAGACTGTTACACCCACAGTGTAAGGACAGGTTCCGCAGGTACTTCATCCCGGCTGCTGTCAGGCTCTACAACACCTACACTGACACTTATA